CCAAGGGGGACGCTGTGGACTGGGCCCCAAGAAGTATCTAAAGTGCCTCAAGGGGGAGCTGAGGCTTCCAAGGGGAAGACAGAGAAAACACCCCCATCTTTGTCACCGGGACCCCCGCTCCCCAGCGGCCAAGAAGCTCCCGGTAACCTTCCCTCCACACGCCCTCCCCACACAAACACACACAAACACACCCATACCGTGCACCGCGGCCTCGCGTGGCGGGGGTGGGGGGAGGAAGAGGACTGGGAGAAAAGGGAGCGAGCTTCCCGTTCAGGCCGGAAGTCGTGCTCCCGGGAAATCCTTCCCACCCACAGGAGCCTCGGAGACGTCCACAGGGAGGGTTTCCAGGCCTCTCAAGAGGTCGACCGGCGCCGCAGGGTGGCGGGCGCCTTCCTGGGGAAGGGGCTCGGGCTCCGCTGGGAAGCGAGGCCCGCGGCGGAGCGGGGAGACCCCGGAACTGGAAGTGGAAGGACCTTCTCACGAGAGCACTCCGGACCCAATTAGGTGCTACCCAGTCTGGTTACCCTGGTAACAGGCGTCGCGGTTTGTCAAGAAACCGAGAGGTGGGTTCGCAGACCTCTGGAATGGTTGCCCATTAGTTAAGTTTCCCTTTAGTCTCACCCTAATGTAGTGTTCGAAGAACCCAAACCTCCTCCTCCTCACTCGGTGGGTGCTCTGGGACTCCTTCCAGTTGGGGGAGGAAGGTGCGAGGGAACTTGTCTCAAGACAGAGAGGATATTATTACTGTCACATAGCGCTGACCGAGTGTTCCAGCCTCTCTACATTAAGCTTCCTTAATCCTCACCGTAACCCCGGGAGATTGGTGTTATCGTCTTCATCTTGAGGAGAATAAACTGAGGCACAGACATACATTAATTGCTCATGGTCACACAGCCAGTAAGTGAGAGAGCTAAGATTGGAATCTAGGCAGAGTCCATGCCTTTTTTTTTTTTAATGTTTTTATTGATTTCAGAGAGACAGGAAGGAGGAGGGAGGGAGAGAACCATCGACGTGAGAGAGAAATATTTATCAGCTGCCTCCTGCATGTGTACTGACGGAGAATCGAACCTGCAACCTTTTGGTTTTTTGAGGGTTTTTTAAAAATATATTTTTATTGATTTCAGAGAGGACGGGAGGATAGAAACATCAATTATGAGAGAGAATCATCGATGGGCTGCCGCCTGCACGCCCCGTACTAGGGATCAAGCCAGCAACCCGGGCATGTGCCCTTTGACTGGAACCGAACCCGAGACCCTTGAGTCCACAGGCCGAGGCTCCATCCACTGAGCCAACCCAGCTAGGGCCCTGCAACTTTTTGGTGCCTGGGACACCACTCAACCAACTGACGCACACCAGCCAGGGCAAGTCCATGCTTTTAACTACTAAGCTATGCTGAGGATTGAAGAAGTCTGGCAATTTCCAGACTGGTTCCGGCACCAGTCAGCCAAAACCCAGGTGCTGGAAAAAGGAAACTACCGAGACGCACAGACTTCAATGAGTACTTTGGCCCCTCAGGGCTTGTGAGGGTCTAGGGGAGGTAAGGCCTTATGATCTGAGAGGACAGCTTGAGATAAATTCTAAAAAGTGATACTAGATAATTCAAGAATAAGGAAAAGATAAAGTGGTGCTGATCCACGGTGTTTTAGGAACAGTTAAGGATAACAGCTAACTCCACCAAAACAATTCCTGACCTGCTCCTCCTCTCCCAAAAGAAGAAATGAATCAACAGCTACACAGATTATTTTTACTTGAGTCATGTCTTTCCTCAGACTTAAGAGGCCTATTCACCTCAATCATGGAGTCATCCTCAAACGGTCTGCTTACCCAAGTTACTCAGTTCTGGAACCTACTAGATGATCTGGCTGAAAGTAACCCTGAGAGCTACAAGAACTTCATTCAACAGCAGCTGAAAGAGGGCAAACAGCTTTGTGCTGCCCCAGAACCACAGCTCTGTCTACAAACAAGAATCCTGGTACGTAGAGTTGGTGCCCTTGGATGGGAGGTCCTGAGTGAAATGATCCTGCAATAACCAGAGAATAGCTTGCCTTTAGCTATTGTTACTTTAACACTGAGGGAAACTGCCACTCTAAATGGAAAGTGAAATGTAGTGCAGAAGATTGCATTGAAGGAGTAAAAACGGGAAGTTCATATTTTATATATTTTGGAGATCTCAAAATGAGCCATTTTTCGGCTAGAATGAAAATAAAAGTAATGTAATGATTTAATACAGAGTCATAGAATTGGAGATTTTTCAAATAAAGAGAACTTAGGGGGGAGAAGTGGGGAAAGATGGTAAAAAAAAAAATGGAACAGCTGCTGAGATCAATTCCCCCTACCTCCTCCCAGTTCCTCTGGGAGTAGCAACTGGATTCTTGATGAAGAGCTTTGAGAAAATCAGGTAACAGTATAATTTCTCAAACACAGTTTTAATACAATAACCTACTTGGAGCCTAAAATTCTCACTCTTCAAATTCTGTGAGGTGTTGCTTTTAGGAAATTATTTTGAAATATATTTGATATGCAAAATTATTTGATTTCTAGAAACCTAAAGAAAAAACACTTTTTATCAACCTATGTCAATGGAAAAGGATTCCAGCTCCCCAATCAATCACTCATCCAGTACCTCTGAGTGTTGGCAGACCAGAAGATATGTCTGAAACATCAGGTACATAGAATTATGGGACACATTTAAAAAATTTTATTGGGAATAGCATGAACCAGATTTTACTTGGTAAAAGACAATACATGTAAAGTATCTTATTTGGTTATAATGTAGCTAATGACTAATAAATATACCTTTATATAAAATGAATACTGTTGCCCGGCCAGCATAGCTCAGTGGTTGAGCATTGACCTATGAACCAGGAGGTCACGGTTCCATTCCTGGTCAGGGCACATGGGTTGCAGGCTCAATCCCCAGTGAGGGCGTGAAGGAGGCAGCTGATCAATAATTCTCTCTCATCACTGATGTTTATATCTGTCTCTCCCACTTCCTTCCTCTTTGAAATCAATAAAAATATATTTAGAAAAAAAACAAAGCTACTCATTTAAAAAGTTTTATTACTGTTTGCCTAATAATATAAACTGTTTTTAACCCATATAAAATGCCAAGAAATGCCCTCATTGAAATTGTGTACATAGCATCTTTATGATTGCTTCTGAAAAATATAGGAATAGAATTTATACTTTCTAGGTTTATCAGGATTATGGCTTAATATATTACCTGACAATATCATTAGTGAAACAGGTTGTCTTCATTTCACACCCTCTGAATCTCATGCACAAATGTTTATCTTTTTTTCTTTTCTTTTTTACACACGCAGATGTTTACACGGTCATCGATGTTGCCTACAATCCTGATGTTCTCCAGGCAGCAGAAAAGGACCAAGTGAAAAAAGATCAGTTAATACAGATGGCCATGAAATGCATTGAGGAACAACTCCAGGTCACTCTCTCACACGTTTACCATATTACCAAATTTAAAATAAAAGGAAGCATTCAAAGGATGAAACAAAACCTGATGGGAATCCAAACTGGCCCCACAGATTTAAAAGAGGAAATGAGAAAAGGTAAGTTAATGAATGTAAATGGAAAATTATACTGATTTAAAATTTTTGTATCCTGTGTGCATTTTGCAAACTGGAAATCTCAATTTTAAAAGATGAATAACTTAAAATAGAAAAAGATAAAGATTAGATATTAGAAATATTAGCATGTCCTTAAAGATTTTTAAATCCTGCAAACTTTTAAATCTTTTTGGTTTAAGATTCTTTTAAGATTCCCAAACTCAATTAGCTGCAGCTTTATCTGCCATCTTGGCTAGCACTACATATATTGCAGCTAGTAGCCTGATAGTACTGATAGTTGTTTATGTTGTTGATTAATTTTGTGATTTTATCCCCCCTTTTTGTTCCATAAAGAACTAACCCTTGAGCAGATAAGAAGCAGTACTCTGAGCAATTCAGATCACTTCCCTCAACTTTTACTGCCAAAAGACCAAGTTTCAAGCAAAAAGGGGTGCCTGATAGAAGAGATTTCCAGTACAGAGATCCAGGTGGAGATGAAGACACCAGCCTATGAATTAAAAATTGTGGCAGATCAGAATGAGAAACCACTGAAAATTGAATTAAAAGTTGAATTACCTGGTATTAATTCAGTATCTCTCTGTGACCTTAGTGTTTCTGAGGTAAGTTGAATAGATAACTATTGTAAATTTTTATCAGTCAAGTCACTATGTTATGCTGTAGTAACTAACTCCACAATCTCAGTAACTTATAGTAATTTGCTCAGGTTACATGTCAGGTAGGCCTACTCTTCTCAACAACCTTTTTTGTTGTTGTTGTTAATCCTCACCCAAGGATGTTTTTCCATTGATTTTTTTAGAGAGAGTGAAAAGGAGGGGGGGAAAGAGAGACACATTGATTGGTTGCCTCCGCATGCGCCCTGACCAGGGCTGGGGATGGAGCCTAAAACAGCAGTAGGTGCCCTTAACCAGAATCGAACCTGGGATCGTTCAGTCCGAGGGCGAATGCTCTATCCACTGAGTGAAACTGGCTAGGGCTCTGCTTGATAGACCTTACACATTTTAAGATATAAATGAAGAAGCAATTCCTATCTGACCTATTTCATTCTCCTGGCAGAGGAAAATAGAAATGGCCAAACCATGCCACGGATCCTAAAACTTCCTCTCAGACATGGTATATATCACTTTTATTCACATCCTATTGGCTAAAGTAAGTCACTAGGCCAAGTCCTACATTGATAGGGCAGGGAAGACTATTCTCAAGAGTCGTCACAGGGATATACATATAATCCTCTTTCAGAGTTCAAATAATTGGCAACAATCCTATAGTCTACCACAGTCCACTCACTTCCTCACAAATATGTGTATCTTTTCCCAAGAAAGACACCTCCAATTTTAGTATCAGACTCCAAAGTACAGGATTTTGCCATCGTAGTCTGCATTTTGCGCCTCTTGAACCAGACCTATGAATTGCAAGCACAAGTTATCTGTTCCCATAATCCCATACACCATACAAAGTTAAATAGGGAGAAGATAGCCACTATTAACAGTCTCAATTCAGAAATGGTAAAAATATGAGGCCCACAGCAGTTACTGGTACACAGCAATGCTGACATTCTGGTAGACAGGTATTTTGAGGGTCTCTTTTCCTGCATGTAGAGGATGTTCTCGCTTTAGGGCCATTATGGATACCTGTATTGCCTAGCCCCGTGGTCGGCAAACTGTGGCTCTCGACCCACATGTGGCTCTTTGGCCCCTTGAGTGTGGCTCTTCCTAAGCCTTAGGAGTACCTTAATTAATAACAATGTACCTACCTATATAATTTAAAAAATTTGGCTCTCAAAAGAAATTTCAACCATTGTACTGTTGATATTTGGCTCTGCTGACTAATGAGTTTGCCGACCACTGGCCTAGCCCCATTGTTTCCCATTACCTTCAGTTCCATTATTTGGGAGGTTCATGTAGAATGGGCAATGTAGATAGAATATGCCGTCCTTAGATGCTGAGCAATTTACTCAGCCTGCTTCACACCCATAGAATGTTTGGGGTCCAAAGATTATTTTTAATTAATTTTAGTCCAGGTTGGTAATATTTTATTTAATTCCACTCAGTGCTATACCCAACAAGTCTTTTTTAGACATGTCCATTTTCCAATGGCTTGTCCTTTTTTACTTAATAGCTGTCATTTGAGTCAAATGTAAGGATTTATTGAGATCCACCTTAACCCAGGTAGAAATTTTAACAAAAGTATAAAGATTTGTGATTTAGTCTTTGCCTCTAGGCGTCTTAATCAGCCTTCATTGGTAAAAATAATAATAATAATAACCTCAATTTTATCCTTTACTGGTTGAAAAAAAATTATTTGCATTTCTGTCAAGTCTTAGAACTTCTTGGCTCTGTATATTCCCTTTCAACTCTGCAAACTGGTAAATTCTAGTCTTAAGTTCATCTCTTTTTGTCATACCTTGTTAAACGTAGCCCATAAAACCAATGCATGCCACCAAAATTTTATTTTACCACTTCTTTACCTAAAGCCACAAATTTACTAGGTAATTTGTCTTCCAAATTACTGTGATAGTTTTACTAAGGGCTTTATCACTATAAAACATGGGTCAGCCATCTTTCCAGTCTCCAGTAAGTTTCCTTGCTGTTTGCTTGTCTGCCCCAAGGTAAATTCATGTAATTTGGGATGACAACACCCATCTTCTGGTACTGCTCAGTTAACTTTTGATGTATTCGACAGCAATAACAAATCTCAAAAGCTCAGGGATTTACAACAGTAACGTTATTGCCCACTGCAAGTTAATGGCAATAAGTTGGGATCCTCTTCTTATGGAAAAGTAGTAAATAATGAAGAACAGAAATCCAACAACACTCATTTTAACCAGGAAATGCTTTCCTATTTTTATCTTTTAACATCTCTCTTGGTTTATTATTCTTAGAATGATTTATTGATTGAGGTCTCTGAGAAGTACAGATTGCATCTGAATCTTCCAGAATCTGTGGATACTGAAATGACTACAGCAAAATTTATCAAAGAGAAAGCTACATTGATCATCACAATGCCATTGGTGTAAGTCAAGAGCATTATTTGTTTTGGGTTTTCAGTGCTAAAGTGATGTGAATTATAGGACCTTCATTATGGGTGAATCTTAAACACTAGTTTCCCGTTTTCTAAGAGTTCCTTTTAATGGAATGAGGTTTTCTCAACTGTTCTTTAAAAAAAAAAAAAACACCTCAGTTTCTCCTTTTCAAAAAAACTTGGCATCAAGCAACAATTACTAAAAATAGTATTGCCATGATATACTTTTTTTGAAGATATCTTAAGTAATACCATTTGGGAAAATTTTGTTTCCAAGTAACATGTGAGAATTCTGTATACTGGTTGAAAAAAAAATTGTCTCTAGTAAATTTTTGCATCAGAAACAAAACCCAGACTGTGCATGTTTTTATTATCAAGAGGGATATAGTAGTAAAGTTTCCTCCAGCAATAACGATACAAGGCCAATGTAAGAATATGCAAACCTATGGTTCTGCGAACCTCTGTACTTCCATAAAACAGCTCTAGCAGGAATCCAAGCTACCCAGGCACATACGGACTTTCCTTTGGATTAGTAATTGGGTGTTATTTCACATAAGATGCAAAATACATCCAACTCTATTTTAAGAAAAAGGACAAGTGTCTTTGGGACAAGTGCCTTTCTCCTAAGAAAATAACTTTTAAAAACTTGTTTTTATTGATTTCAGAGAGGAAGGGAGAGCATTATCAGTGAGAATCATTGTTTGGCTACCTCCTGCATGCCCCCTACTGGGGATCGAGCCCAGAAACCTGGGAATGTTACCTGACCAGGAATCGAAACTGACCTCCTAGTTCATGGGCTGATACTCAATCACTGAGCCATACCAGCCAGGCCTAAGAAATTAACTTTTAAAAATACAGAGGTGATATACTTTTCAACTCCCATTCATCTAAGTTGTAAGATAGTTGTTCAATACAAATGTATCAACTTTCCAATTTATATTCAAAGCAATGCTCACATCAAACTATAAACATCCCTTAATTATCTTTTCTAGATACAACTTCCTTGTGATTACTTTCTAGTTCAACAGTCTTTTTTTGTTGTTGCAAGTCCTCACCCCAGGAATTTTTGTCATTGATTTTGAGAGAATGGAAGGGAGGGGGAGAGACAAACATCAATGTCACATAGATTGGTTGCCTCCCCCACATGGCCCCAGGAATCAAGTCTGCAATTGAGATACGCACCCTTGACTGGAATCAAATGGGCACCCTTCAGACCGCAGGCTGATGCTCTATCCACTGAGCCAAACTAGCCAGGGCTCAATATAAAGTCTTTAAATAAATTCTTTATTAATTTTAAAACTTTTTAACTTTAGAAACTGCTATAGTTGTACTATAAATAGATGTTACATTTAAAAACGTAATTTTCTTTTTTTAATATATTTTTATTGATTTCAGAAAGGAAGAGAGATAGAAACATCAATGATGAGAATCATTGCTCGGCCGCCTCCTGCATGCCCCCTACCAGGGGCTCCAGCCCACAGCAAGCCAGGCAATGTGCCCTTGATTGGAATCAAACCCCAGACCCTTCAGTTCACAGGCCAACGCTCTAGCCACTGAACCAAACCAGCTAGGGCAAAACATAATTTTCTTAAACCTAACCTGGATTTGAATCCTTCTAGCAATATGATAATTTATCATCTAAAAATGTTCTAGAATTGTATGATGTCCTAAAATCCCATAACCACATAGAACTAGTTGAATCTCTATTCTTGTACTCTCGGCACATACTTATGTCAGCAGCTATGTATTTGTGTACTAATAAAATGCATGTCAAGATCTAACACACTTGAAAAAGAAGGAATTCTTACCATTTGCAACAGCATGGATGAAACTGGAGAGCATTATGCTAAGTGAAATAAGCCAGTCAATGAAAGAAAAATACCACATGATCTCACTCATTTATGGATAATAAAGACCATTATAAACTGATGAACAAAAAGAGATACAGAGGCAGAGCAGCATCAAACAGACTGTCAAACTACAGTGGGAAGGC